TCTTAAATATGGAGAACAAACAGAGGGTTACTGGAGGGGTTGTGGGGGGGGATGGGCTAAATGGGTAAGGGGCATTAAGGAATATACTCTTGAAATCATTGTTGCACTATATGCTAACTTGGATATAAATTTAAAAAATAAATAAAAATTTAAAATTTTCTTTAAAGAAAAAAATTGGGAGTATAGTTGACAATGTTATGTTAGTTTCAGGTGTGTGCCAGTGATTAGACATCTCTTATGTTATGCTACACTCACAAGTGTAGCTACCATCTGTCACAACACAGTGCTATCACAATGCCATTGACTATATACCCTCTGCTATACCTTTCGTCCCTGTGACTTATTCATTTCCTAACTGGAAGTGTGTGCCTCCCACTCCCCTCCACCCATTTTGCCCCTCCCCCATTCCCTTCCTGTCTGGGAACCATCAGTTCTCTGACTTTAGGTCTGATTCTTTCTGTATGCTTACTCATGTTTTGTTTTTTAGATTCCACATGTAAGTGAAATCATATGGCATTTGTCTTTCTCAGTCTGACTGATTTCACTTAGCGTTAATACCCTCTAGTCCTATCCATGAAATATGTACTTTTTTTAAAAAAGCTCCCCAAATATTCTGATGCAAAGCTAGGTTTGATTCCACCAGTGTAGATTTCAAAGAGCTGGTCATTTCCAATCAAAAAGTTTTGCCACCTGCAGGGCATTTTTGACAGGGATCAAGATATAAGAAACCTGATTGGACAGGGCACCTGGGTAGCTCAGTAGGTTAAGCTTCTGACTCATAATTTCAACCCAGGTCATGATCTCACGGTTTCTGAGATTGAGCCCTGTGTCAGGCTCTGTGCTGATAACGTGGAGCCTGATTGAAGATTCTCTCTCCCTTTTTCTGCTGTTCCTGACACATGTACTGTCTTTCAAAAATAAATAAATATTAAAAAAAAAAAAAAAAAGAAATCTGGTTGGATAAAAACAAAAACCTCCCAAGAACACGATTTCAAGCACTTCACAATAATAACCATCACAGGAACAAAACACAGTTATCTTCAAATTTAAATTTATTAAGACATTCAGCTATGTCTGTCAGTCTACATCCAAATTTGCTACTAAAAATAAAATAAAGTCACATCCCACATTAGGAATATCGAGTCTGAAAAACACTTTTTGAGCCAAGCCTATTGTATAAATAAATGACTAGTTTCTTTTCATATCAAAATTCCCATAAAAAATTACATTCCCCCCTCCCCAGTTCTACCTGTAGCCATGATGAATGTAAAAATTTAAATATGACACATCCTTGTCAAAGAAAAGGTGCAAAGTCTATTAACAGCTTTAAAAGTGGCATTTGCAGAGTGTGATCATACAGTTATGTACTCATTCCCAAAGTGCAAATATTGCCATAATTTAACACTGTTTTGATTCAGTTGCAAGAATTAAACATTACACAGCATTGAAAAGTACACTTAAGGGCCTCTATCAGTGCCCTAAAGCCCTTCCCACTTTGGTCTCCTACACGAACGTGGACCCCAAAGTGTTCATTAGAGTTTTAGTTTACTTCACACAGCCAACACAGTATACAATATATTAACAAAAGTTTCATATACATCAAAATATTGGAGACTCCATCATAAAGTTCAAGAGTCTCAGATTACATGAATGCACCCGCAAGGCCCAAGTGCCCACCCACCCCCTAAAGCACATACGAAGTATGAGCGTGCTTCAATCTTTGAATACAATCAATGCTCCTACATCTTTGATTTCATTTCAGTGCTGTACAAAACTCAATTATCACCTGACTGAGTCCCAATTAACGAAGGGAAAGGGGTTGGTGACAAGGGCTGGTCACTACTCATACTTTGTAACAAGAATGATCCTGTTCCATAGAAAGTGAGAGGTCTGTTCTGCTTCGGCCTGCTTCTTCCCACGCTGTCCTGATGCTCTTTATCCTTCTTTCTTTAGCCCCTTTCAAGCACTCAAATGTGATTTTATTTATCCCTTCCAAGTCAGGGGCAATTTCTGAAGCTGCTAAGGCTGAATTTTGTTGGCAAACTTCTATATCAGCATAGGATACAGAAATACATTTTGATTAGCATACATTGCAAAATTTCTCCCACAATGTCAAGGGGATGAAAGCCAGCAGTCTCCACTGAGAGTACTTCCTGGGTCAGATTCTTGGAATGTCAAGTCTCCTGCCTCATCATCTTATACATTCATTTCTCAAATCTGAGTGCGAATTTCATAGTGAGTTAACTTCTCCAGAGTATCAAAGCATTACTTCTGCTTCTTTTCTTCTGGGCTGACCTCAACAGGACATACTTCATCTTCTGCACTAACACGATATTCCTTAGGATCACAAGTCCCTTCCTGGCTATCTGATCGTGTGACAATGCATTCGTTATTGTCCCTAGAACCTTCCTGCATCCCAGTCCCTGGAGGATGCTCTTGATTTGGAGGTTCAGTACCTTCCTGAAGCATGATGTGTTGCTCAGCTCCAGCATGAGGTTGTGGAACCAGCTCCGTTCCTAACCCTGCAAGCTGGGAGGAGTTTTTGAGGTGGCAGTGGCACAGAGGGCAGGTCTCCTGGACATACAGCCATTTCTTGAGACATCCTGCATGGAAGAAATGACTGCAAGGTGTGATCACAGCAGATTTCATGTCCTAGAAGCAGGAGGAAAGGTATCTCATAAATGTCTATTATCTAAAATCGTTGCTGCTAATCCCAAAAGTTCTAGTTTCATCATTTCTTTCCCACAAGTTCCCCATATAAAATTTGTAACACAGATCTTAGAATAAAACTCATTTTAGATTATAATAATAATCCTCCTGCCATCAGAGACCCCTTTATACCAAAATGCAAGAACCACTACCTAAGTAAATAAAAAAGAAAGTAAAAACCAAAAATGAGAAGGAAACTAACTTAACTGGCTTCTGCCTCAGTATGAAACATGAGCATCACACAACTATTGCAGTGTGATTACTGGGTCTCCCCCGGCACGGCATGAGTGTAATTAGAACCTCAGAAAATCTGATGAAGGCAGGACTTTCCACAGTAATGCTTCAACACAGCTGGACAGATTGTTCCATGATGAAATTACTGGCAAGGAGACAAAGTCAGCCACATAACACCAGGGTATTGGCAAGGAAGTGGCAATTTCATTAGGGACAATGTAATGCAGTCTTCAAGGTAAGGTCCGTATAAACCAGCATTTCTCAACTTTCATCACAAGCACCAGAGTGCTTGTTAACCATGCACATTCCTGGGCCACCCCAGTTCTACTGAATTGGGATATCTGAAGATGGCATTCACAAATCTGTAATTACAGCGGGTCACCCATGTGACTTTTATGCACACTCAAGTTTGATAACTATTGCAATAAGAAAGAAGTGGTGTATTTTGCATTAATATTCCTTGCAGAAGAAATATTTAAAGAGAGAAGGCTGAGGACATGATGCTTCAATTGCAAACATATACATTTGGTGACACAACCATTAATTTTGTTTGAAGTCTCAAAACAAGGAGTTGTAGTTGTCACATAAATTCCTTGCCAAAAACTGGTAACACCTGGGAGTCAACTTTTAAGCAGAAAGCCATCCAAGGAAAAGCAGCCAGCTGGGAAGTTAAGCAATTTGACTTTCATTTTCTGTGTGATATCAGCAGGTAGTTCTAGCACCTCAAAAAAGTGATGTGACAACAGGAAATACAAAAAGAGGACTCTTAAATCCCAGAGATGGAACATTTAGGTATGGGCTGCTAAAGCTGATGTACGGGTCTTTGACATGCTTTGTCCTGCATACAACAGGGCTACCAAGCACAAAGGAACCAGAACTAAGACCAGGACCACTTCACTTGGGGGGGAACCTACAATACTCCTTAGTTCCCCCAAATGCAAAAATCAACCTGGAAAACATTATTCTATGAGTACCCAAGGTATGTTCTAGTAACAACAAAAAAGTGGTAGTTGCATTTTATTCTTAGACAAAATTCTTGTACTAGATAGTCTTAAACACACAGATACACACACCCCATTAAACCGTAGAGTAGCCTTGGAGAAAGAACATTCCTTCATACTCAGTGACACCATCTATAGTTTTATTCCCCTAGCACACGCTCTTTAAGAGCAATTTTAAAGGAACAATTTCTGACAGTACAGTTAAGCTATAAAAGCTGCTACTCAACCACCCCCTTGCACAGGTTATTGGGGACTAAACTCTAGGCCTATTTTTTTGTTGTGACATTTCCAAACTCCTTTACATACTATCTTTCAGTTTTAATAGAGGGCAATCATCAGCTATTCGTGGCACACATGCCAAAGATGCCAGGAAGGCCGACTACAGTGCCATACCAATTGGTTGCCTCTACCCCACGTCCATACACACAGGCTATCTCCATCTCAGATATCCATCAACCCACAGGTAAACACGCACTCTCTCCAACTATGTTAAGTAAATGAATACTTCTTCCCCACCCTGGAAATACCAGAAGGAAAAGAGTCAGAATCTTGGCACACCACTTTTCAGAAGTTGCTGACTCCTGATAGTATACACTTGATAGTACATATATCTGTGTGTGTGTGTGTGTGTGTGTGTGTGTGTGTGTGTGTGTGTGTATTCAGGAGTAAATATAAAATACACCTGACCTGTTTTTCCTTTATTTATGGGTGAGCAATGTTGAAAATAACAATAAATTAGAACTTGGACTAAATTAAAAACTTAGTTTAGAAATAAAACAGAAATAGTCTATCAGGTCTTTAATAATCTTTGAAACCTTTTTTTTTCTTTTTTTTTTTAAACCCAGGAAATAATTCTGCCTAGAAATTTAACTTAAACTTGGTTAATATGGTTAAAGTCCCAGGAGATACATTGTATGACCCACCCAAATGGATTCTTACTGTGCAAGTTACCTGGTAACAGATGGCACAAATATCATTGTGTTTCTCCAGCTGCTCTTTTGTAGCAATAGGTAATGATTTAATCTTATTCACAGCATCCCTGCGGAGAAGGAAGCTCTTCCACCCCAGCTGTGCCCGAAGCCACACATTATAATAGGAATGGATGAAGATGATCATTGAGCCCATTACGGTCCACTCTCCGAAGATGGTCTCTGAGACACCATAGGCCACCACACAGAGGGCCACAAGAAACTCCAAGAGGCGGTAAGTGCCATTCACATAGTAGATGACATCATCCATGTTTTCCACTGGCTCTTTTCTGAATTCCTCAACCATAAATAAGACATAAATAAAAAGTGTTCCCAAAACCTGGAAAAAAAAATCACATTATTTTAAAACAGAATATTACCACTAATAAAGGCTTTGCATAGACTTTAAGCAATAACAACATTCCTAAATACTTTTAGGGTGCCATATTTAATACCTAGAGACAGTGGTGTCATTAAAATGTGGGTGCTCTCAGTAATCCAGGCATTCGCTATCAGAAAGCCACACCTTGAGACATAACTTTCTTAAAAATGATTCTGATTAGTTTCTGACTCATCCTTTCCATTTATTCCCCAGATCATCAAAACCTATTAAAGTTCCATCTAAATTGTCCTAATTCTGTAGTCATACATGTTCCTCAACTTTCAAAGAACCTTTACCCCTACAGGGAACAATGAATAAATCTGTGTTGCCAGTGCTATATTTTGTTACTTTTTACTGATCTAGCAGCAAAGAGCCACCTTCAAACTACAACAAGGTTTTCATTTCCTGGGCAGTATTATCAGTTGTATATATATACACATGTGTGATACACACGTATGTCATATATTTATATATACCATGAAACAAAAGATATTTCTGAGTAGGTATTTACTTTAAAAATGTGCTCCAAACAAGTTATAAAATCTTTTAATATTTTAGAGTTCCTTATTAATTTAAGCTTTACATGATAGTTGTGTATCATTTAAAAAACCAGCAAAGTTTCATTACCTTGGTAACAAAAATACAGTGACATAGACAGGTCTGGTATTTTAATAACCTACCATCTAACTCCTATGCTGAAATCAGTGTAATATTTTCTGACAAATAAGTTGGGAAGTGATCACCTAAACAGGCTACTTCTAATCATTAATCCTGAAGAAGTTTAATTTCTTTTCAAGAAGGAAAATAAAATCAGTTATTGCAGAAAGTTAGTTACTCCTAGGCTTACCTGAAGAGAGGTGAGAATGCTGCTGGAAATAATGATAAGCAACCAAAAATCCATGTGGAAAAACTGGCAAATCATGTAAGCCATATAAGCAGGGAACACTAGTAAAAATAAACAAAGGCTCACCGCACGGAAGTGTTTCCATAAACTCCTAGAGAAAGAAAAGTATTTCTTTAAAGTACCTGTCACCCAGGAGCACAACGATCACATTAGCAACTGATAGGTCTTTGGGCTGTGCTTACATTTCCCAGTTTACTGAGCATCCTTGTCCATGCCTGTCACTGTCCTAAATTTCAGGGCAAGTGTCATAGGCTTGGTATTTCAAAGCCCCCGACTCACCTCTTCTCTCCACAGTCAATTGCCAAGTGCCATCAATTTTTTTTCTGTTTTTTCCCTAATGGTTAGCTTTCGGTTCCATTCTCATTCCTACCAATTCCAAAGTGATTTTAGGCTTTTGTAGCATTAAGCCTTAGCAATTTCAAGAGTAATTTGTGGTTTTAAGTCATGAGACATCTTCTCCACCCACTGTGCCATGATGAAAATCTCTGCTACTGCGAGTACAATATTACTAAGAGGAATGGTGCTCCAGTGAACAGCTATATTATTAATCCTCACATCTGTCAGGCTTGGGGGTGAAAAACTATGAACCACTGTGTTATATGTAGGACCTACTAGCCGGTCTTCCTCTCCTGGTGCCTAATCTATCCTGGACATGGCCTGCCTAATCTTTCTACAGTTCTGCTAGGGTAATATTGCCAAAACCTGTTCTAAACTTCCTAGCCTGGCTTTTGAGCTCCTCTACTCCCAATTTCTTGGTCTAAACTTGTCAACATCTCTTCCTCACTATAAGCAAAGATGGTTCATTAACTGTATTCTAAGAAAAATACAAACATTCTTACATTCCACCAGAAATGCCTGTCCCACTCTCTTTTGTTCTAAACCCTTTAGGCTAGCTCAAGCTGAACAAATATATGCACACAGACAGGTAATGTGAATCCTTTCTCCAGGAATCACCAATCCTCTCAGAGTTCTTAACACTGGTACAGGCCAATCACTAAACTGTAGTATTGTTTCGGGGCACCTGGATGGATGGCTCAGTTGGTTAAGCGTCCTACTTTGGCTCAGGTCATGATCTCAGTTTGCGAGTTTGAGCCCCAAGTCAGGCTCTGTGTTGACAGCTCAGAGCCTGGAGCCTGCTTCAGATTCTGTCTCTCTCTCTCTGCCCCACTTGTGCTCTCTCTCACTCTCAAAGATAAATAAACATAAAAAAAATTAAAAAAAAATAAACTGTAGTATTGTTTCAATTATACAGATATTTATATATCATATAGCTAAACATGTTTATGTTTATTTTATATTATCTAAATAATATATATGTACATACCCAGAAAAATGTCTTATCACCCAAATTTAAACTCCTTGAAAAAAAGAACAAGAACTCTTTCTTCACATGGCTCAGTTTTTAGGCACAAAGGCTTATATGAAGTAAGTGCCAAATAAAACTAGAACATTTATTTTTGCCTGATATTTTTCAAATTATTTTCATTACCTTTTATTTTTTTACCTACTTATCTATCCACTCAAATGCAAAGTCCTATAAGCAGGATAAAAGTTATGGTTATCTCATGGGGGAATAGTTACTATATAGGTATAAAGTATACATAAATATATATAAAGTACATATGTATATATATGTTAGTGTTTACATATATATACTTCATATATAGTTCAGTATGTGTACACATATGTTGTGTACACACACACACACACTTTTGAAATATAGTATAACCTTGTGCTTTTAAGACACCAACAAATTAAGAGGCTTCTTAGATTTCAGTTTCTGACTCCACTTTAACCCTACTCATCAGTAGTGGAATACATACACCAGAGGCCGTGTAATTATGGTAAAAGGAGAAGGAACATAACTTTTCTTTTTGTGTATCTCTTCATACATCACAATATTCTAATAAATCATCCCTTAAATACATCCCAATTTAAGACAGATTATATACCAAGTTGTAGAAGATACATAAACAAAAACCTTCCCTGAGTGCCTGAAGCAGAACTTTGGAAAATTTTCATGCAACAGGAAAAAAAGGTGTGATTTCCACTCCCCTGCAAGTTTACTTATAGAACTATTTACTTTATATACCCAATTTCCAAGTAAATAGATGATAGAGGGCCACCACAAGGGATGGATATATATATATATATATATATATATATATATATATTTATCAGCTGTTTCCATTTCCTGGGTAAATAAAGGCCAAAGTTAATTTTTTAACATAGTAATTACAAATCTAGAAAGACACTGTGAACCCTCTGTCTTTTCCTCTCTCTTAAACACAAAACTCCATTACAATCTATGTAAAGTGAATATCAAGACTTAACAATTGTTAATGATTTCCTATAAAACATGAACACTTATTTAAGTTCATTATGAGGAAATGTAGATTTCAACCAAAATAGTTTAAAGCTCATGGCTACAAAAAAATTAAACTGTTTTAATTAAAAATCAGCATCTGTGATCTAAAATCAATGTAGAGTCTCAAGGAGACAAAAAAAAAGTAACATAAATCACCCATTCTACCTTTAACTATAATATAGGTGGGAAGGAAAAATAACCACACACAAAGTTAAATGCTAAACTGTGTGGGACTACTTGTAATTAGTAATTCAGAGAAGAAAGTGAATTATTATGATAAAAATTAAAGACAGGCACTTTGGAACTGTTTTACACCTTTTCTTGCAAGCATTTCTACTTTCTGAAGTTAAGAGACAAACTTGTCAGTAGTTCTGCTTTGAGATGCATAACAATTTTAGTTTTTTTAAAGAAAGGCAGGCAGGAAGGGATTAGTGTAAAAGTAGTTATACTATATTAGATGATAAATTATAAATTTTCTTTAAATAGGGTAATTTACCTTAAAACTTGAAATATATTTTTCAAAATCAAGCTGTAATACATTTATATAAAATAGGTATATATTTACATATACACAACCATATATTTATACACATACACTGAGAAGTATATACAACATTATGCCAAGAGTTACAATTTATGTCTAATTTTGGCATAAGTGTGTATACACACAAACACAAAAATATATATACATAAACACAAATACAGGTGTGTATATTATATACAGAAACAAATATACACATCTATTTAAGCAGTAAAAATTCAGTAAAAATCTAATTTAAAGGGTGCCTGAGTGTCTCAACTGGTTAAGTGTCTGACTCTTGGTTTTGGCTCAGGTCATGATCTCATGGTTTCTTGAGTTTGAGCCCCATGACGGGCTCTGTGCTGGCAGTGTGGAGCCTGCTTGGGATTCTCTCTCTGCCCCTCCCTCACTAATGCTCTCTCTCAAATATATAAATAAACTTAAAAAAAAATTTTTTTAAATCTAATTTAAGATAAAATATAAAAAGAATAGCAGAAAATGACACTGAAACCTCATCCCAGTAACAGGTGCCTGGGAGGCTCAGTCGGTTGAGTGTCAGACTTCGCCTCAGATCATGATCTCACAGTTCATGAGTTCAAGCCCCACGTCAGGCTCTGTGCTGACAGCTCAGAGCCTGGAGCCTGATTCGGATTCTGTATCTTCCTCCCTTTGCTCTTCCCCCACTGATGCCCACTCTCTCTCTCTCAAAAATAAAGCTTAAAAACATTTTAAAAAATAAAAAAAAAAAAAAAAAACAAAACCCAGGTTAAGCACTATACAATAAAATATACCTTATAAACACCCCAATCCATTTTTTTAAAAAGTTTGTCATTTGAATATCTACTACGTAATTAGAATAAGTAGACCATCACCCTAAAATTCCTTGTTAAGACCTGGAGTAAAATTTATAGATAAAGGTTAACAAATATCTCTATGGCTAAAATTGAGACACCTTTTTAAGTTAAACACTGAAAATTACCTCTAGTCTAAGCAACTCCAAAGACATGTGAGGATTCTTCCCCTAATAATTATTTTCTTTAATGACAGAGAGAAGCGATGTTTCATGAATTATCAATATTATCTCTTGTTTCTCTAATTTGAGAATTAAGACACGTTTCATTTCCTTTTTTAATCTTAACCCAGTACACGGAATTAATCATAATCCCTGATTCAGAATGCACTATTGCCATTGGTCTGGGGGTGTCCCTCTCTTTACTGAGTTAGTAACCTAATTAGCTCTCTTAAATATTGTAGCAAGCCTTCACGAACCCATCTCCCCATACAAAAGTGAGGGCCTGGACAATAACCCCCATTTAACCATATGGAAGGCCTGCCTTTTCCATATCCTGCCTCACTCCATACAATGAAAGTGTTCTTTACTCTCTTGCTTGCTTCCCTTTTTAGAGTTTTAATCTGTATGTATTCCTAAAGAGGAGATTTAAAATTTTTGTTTTTAACATAAAAATAACATTCTATACTGTCATCTTTTTGGAGTTACTTTTTAACTTTATAATGTTATGAATCACTCCTACTGTTTTATGTGTCACAAGATTTCTAATATTCCATGGTGAAAATTATCACATTTACTCACCCACTTTCCTGTTCCCAAACATGTCATTTGGGTTGTTTCCAGATGTCTGCTACTATGCATTGTGCTATGAACATTCTTCTACATGTCCTTACTGAGCATGTGCAAGAATGTCCTGAGTATACATGTAGGAGGAGATAATGACCAAACTGTTCCCAAAGTCATTACACTTTACACTCCCACCAGAAACCAGAGATACCCTGTGATCTAGACCTTCCTCCACCCTAGGTATCAGCTGATTTTTTTTTCTCTCTCTCTTCTTCCTTCCTTATTTATTTATTCCTTGCCAATCCCAGAGGTTGAAAATAGCACCTCAATGTGGTCTTGATTTACATTTCCCCCATTAGTAAAGAGGTTGAACCTCTCTTCATAGTCCTGTGTTTCTTCTTTCACTAAACGCCTAAAGATAAAGATGTATTTCATCTTCTATTTCTCTTCTTCATCTGAGCTGTTTGTGTATTGATATCAATTCTTGGATGAGTATAAATACTTCGAGTATCTTCTCGTAGTTTGTAAAGTTAACTTTAGGTTTAAAAAGTTAATTTTAATAGTTAGATTTATCACTCTGCTTTCACAGTCATTCTCAACTCCTAGTCTCCCTTTCCCAGCAGTTCTGTCAGTTTAAGAGATTGTTTCCCACTTGAAGGTCCAAAATATGCTAGCCTATGTAGAGTTTTAATTTTTTGTTTTGACATTTCAGGTCTCTTAAAATTCCAGAGTTGATCCTTTGTTTATGGTGTGAGATAGGAACCCATTCCATCCTTTTCTAAACAGAAACCGTTTTCTTCCAGCAGAATTACGGAAGACTACCACCTGTCCCCACTCATCTGATATGCCACCTCCGTCACATACCAAAGTTCCACATACACAGATCTGTTTGGGGGCTCCCTGTTCAAATGCTCAAGTTGTTTCTATTTGAGCCAGTATTACAAAAGCTTCACAGTACCTCCTACTATGAGTGAAATAAAACTTTATCTTCCTCAAGTTGTCTGATTTCAATACAAGGATTATACTAGCCACACAGAATGAGTTGTGTAGTATTCTTTCTATTGTCTGGAAGTGCATGTTTAAAATAGGGATAATCTGTTCCTTCAAAGTTTGGAACTTGCCTGTACTGCCATCTGTTTACCATTTGCCTTCATTTCTTTAACAGCTACAGAACTATCCAGGTTTTTAAATTCTTCTTGAGTCAGTTCTAGTAAGTTACATTTTTCTCATACTTCTCAGTTTTGCTCCTTTCCCTCTAAATTTCCTCTGCATGAGACCTTGGAGGAAGAAGTCAGTAATAAATAAAGCTAGTGCAACATCCTGGAGGAAACAAGAACCGGATTTAATGGTTCTTATGGCAGTGGAATTACAGATTGTTTTTTCTCTTTCCCAAACTTTCTATAGTATTATATTAGTCTTACTAATATATGCCAAAGTAATTAGTATAATTAATGATACTCCCAGAAAGGAGTAATTAATAATTACTAAATGATACTCCCAGAAAGGACAAAATAGTGTTGTACTCAGATAAAAAACAACCCAATCACTTAAGTGGCTATTTAAGGGAGTTCAGCACCAAGTTCAACATCTTAAATGCTTCTATTGAGATACTTCAACCCTCAAAACCAAATCTCAAATAACTATAATGAACTGTAACGATTAAGGTTATCTGAAACAAATCAAAGTTTATTTAAATTAAAATGGATTCTGTCAGCTATTCTACCATTTGAGAAAAAATTTCAGAATGTTCAGCAATGTGGGATATGGGAATAGAAAGATAAATGTGATGAACTACAAAATGTTAATTTGGAATGTTTTAAAAATCTGCTATCAAATTTCGATCTCCCAAAGATCACCTGTTCCCTTACTCATAAAACACTACCAAAGCGGCAATAAATTCAGATAGTTCAAAAATCAAGAGAGTGTGAATGGATGCTGGAAAAAAACAGTGACACTGAATTTTAAGCGTTCTTATAGAATGCCCTTGTATAAACTATAATAAGCTAAAATTGTATCTTAAAGAGCTAAATGATAATTTGACTTTTATTCCTTAAGAAAACCTCTATATAGTATGGCATGAACATGAATGCAGCTATTAATTTCACTTGGTCCCAGAAGGTGTCAAAAAGTCCCATTAAAACCTAAGTTGGGGGCGCCTGAGTGGCTCAGTTGGTTAAGCGTCCAAATTCAGCTCGTCATGATCTCGCGTCGTGGTCTGTGAGTTCGAGCCCCGCGTCAGGCTCTGTGCTGACAGCTAAGAGCCTGAAGCCTGCTTCAGATTCTGTGTGTCTCTCTCTCTGCCCCTCCCTTGTTCATGACTGCCTCTCTCTCTTTCTCTCAAAAGTAATAAACATTAAAAAAAAAATAAAACCTCAATAAGTTGCAATGGTTCTAAAATGCCATCAGATGAGGTAGTTATTCCATTAATGGCTATCTTTACGACTGCCTGAGAGCCTTTATTTCTCTCTTTCCAATGATTTTCTCCTTTCTCTCAATGCTTTCTCTGCTTTAGCATCACACAAAATAAAATTATTTGGTATATTTCTTGGACTGAATTTTCTGCTCTCCATTTTAAAATTGGACAAATATAAAAAGTATTAAATATCTCTGAAGAAGAAAAACACTGACTTGTAATTAATTACATGGTCTTTGATGTGATTTCTAACTATAGGCATCTTGAGAGGAAAAAAACAGAAATGTTAAACATATAGAAAGAAATTTAAAAATGTAAACTCATCACCTTAAGCTAATACCAATTATTCATCCATGTTCTGTCTCTAAACATTATCTTCAAAAAAATCTTCAAAAAAATCTTCAAAAAAATCTACATATATAAAGAATATTACAAAAAATTTTTAGGAAGTTTCTTACTTGTCTCTAGATGCTCCCAGCGCCAAAACAATTGGATCTGCAATCTCTAACATTGACTGTAGGATAGAAGCTACAACAATGAAGAGGATAATACTGAGCAGGAATGCCCGATGAACAACCTGTAGTTCTATGAGACCAGTCTGTACTGCCAAGATTAACAGCGTAACTCCTTCTGTCATGCCCCTAAAAAAAACACACATTTTTAGAAAAACAAACAATCAGAAACTCATTTCATTCCATGAGCAAATAATCCTGATCAGAATGTTAATACATATAACATTGATATAACACATATAATATATAACACTGACATGTAATAACAATATAATGACTATGTAATAGTCATAATATTTCACTATGTGTAAAACATAATTACTATTATTTTAGCATACAATGAGAATAAAAGCAACTTCTAAGATAAATAAAAGGTTTTGCTAATGAGCCAGACACTCTACCATTCTGAGATATCCACTGAATTACACATATTTATATCATGAGCTTTTTCCTGACTATAAAAGATAAAATCATAGGTGAATGTCTTCATAATCTTGAAGTAGGAAAGGTCTCTTTAAGCAGACCATAAGAACCAGAAGACATAAATACAAACTTTTTTGAAATTCAATTGCCATATGGAAAATATATACAAAAATCCTTAGAGATCTTTTTTTATCCTATTGACTTGATTTATAAATAACTCTTACAAATAAATGAACAAAGGATTAAGTCCAATTTTCAAAACCACAAATTAGCAAATATTTCGAAGTCTGATGACCCAAGCACTGACAAGGAATCTGAGAAAAAATGGGAACACTAATGTTGACATAAAACATGTAAAACCTTTCTGGAGAAAAATTTGCTAATAAATTTAAAATATATACACAATTTAACTCAGTAATCTTGCTGGTAATAATTTACCCTATGGATGTACTACAAAAAATTTATATGTAAGAGAAAACACAGTGAATAATAAAACATGTTATGTGACATCATGGGAATATAACTGGCAAAATCCAGATTCTGAAAAATTAAGTAGAACAATCTAGTGTCTTCAACAAATAAAATGAGAGGGGGAAAAAATACAGAGAGACAGCAAGGACCTAAACATTAAAAGAGACTTAAAAGATATTAACCAACTGCAATATGGGCCTTATTTGGATCTGAAGCTGAGCAAATAAAATGTTTTAAAAAAAAGATCAGGAAAATATGAACACCAACTGGGAATTTGAGGTCAAGGAATTCTTCTCTTACTGGGAATGAATATTTTATTGTTGTTATGTTTTTCATATGAGACTGAAATACTTGTGGGTAAAATGGTATCATATCTGAGATTTGTGCCAAACAAATGCAGCCAGGAGTTATGGAGGGGACAGAGTAAGTGAAGTTGATAAGGGCATGCATGATAGAAGATAGGCCATATTATTGGAGATGGGTGACAAGTATATGGAGGTTCATTTTACTATTCTCTCAACTTTGTTAATTTGAAATTTTCCTAATTAAGAGTTAAAAAGAGAGACATATACAAAGATACTCATAGCACAATTTTTAATAGCAAAAAAAAATACATTTATATTTTAGAATACTATGCTTTAATCAAAAAAATGAGGATGTCTCTGTTGACATAAACAAATTATCTAAAAACTATTTAAAAGAAAAAATAAGGTGTAGAACTGTTTACAGTATGTGGAAATGAACAACAACAAAATATATATATGCATTTTTCCCCATAAGAAAATTTAAAATAATGATCTATAGCTGTTACCTTTGGGGAAAGGAAATGACAAGCAGGGGAAGGAAGAGTTGTCACTTCCCGTTTGGTATTTTCTGAATGGTATTAATTTGGTGAGCTTATACAGGAATTATTTTTCTTTCTTGCCCTACCCCCCTTCTTTTTTCCATTACAAAAGTGTTAGCTGGGACTGGCAGGAAGGTTATAAGGTAGAAGTTTTTCTCTTTTCTCATAAAAAAACTAAAATGTACACCAAGAAAAAAAATTATTTCTTCCATTTACAAGGTACTCACCATCTACTAATTCTGAAATATTCCATAAAGATTTAAAGACTTTAAGATTCTTTAAATTTATATAAATGAAACCATTAAAAATTCTTACATTAAGATAACAGATATTATGACAAGTACCAAAAACAGGGTTTCCCAATATCTGATCTTAGTGATTTAATAACAACTAGATTAACTATTCTTGGATTATCATTAATGCATCCTTTGAAACTTCAATCAGTATCAAATTTATGTCCAACCATAAAAAATTAAGCAAGTATCAAATACAGAAATTTGATTTTAACATGGCTACACTTAACTTCAAATGGAAAAAAAACAAGCTATTAAAAATCTCTTAAACTCTGGGGCTCCTGGGTGGCTCAGTCGGTTAAGCATCTGACTTCGGCTCAGGTCATGATCTCAAAGTTCGTGAGTTTGAGCCCCATGTCGGGCTCTGTGCTGACAGCTCAAAGCCTGGAACCTGCTTCGGATTCTGTGTCTCCCTTTCTCTCTTGTCCCTCCCCTGCTCGTGCATGCTCTCTCTTTCAAAAATAAATAAACATTAAAAAAAAATTTTTTTAATCTCTTAACTCTAGGAAAGTGTCCAGTATATACTGATAAGTACAAACAATAAAAATCCATCTTTTACATATGGAAATTCAGTTATATTTTTCATAGTATTTTTAATCCAAATAGTTTCAACCATTCAAAAAAAAAAAAAAACCTTCAAAATACCATTTCCTCTGAAATTCATCATTACTTCTTCAAGTTATATATAATATTTAAATTTCTAGAGATATTCATAGTCAAGAACTTACCTATTCATGGCAGGATCATTCATGAAAGCTCGATAACCTTGCAAGTAAAACTTGCAGAGTGTCAGAACACCCAAGGCAACAAAAGAAACCGTGAAGACCAAGCCCAGAAGTGAGTAAGGAGTGCTGCAGCATTCAGCAATACTAGAAAAGAGCAGGTGGGGGTATTGATAGATAAACGTTTTCCCCTGGAAATAAAACCATCTTAAGCCTTCAAATAACCACCAAGCTTGTTCTGATCCTTATCAATTAAAACACCCAAACCAAAATTTAAGGTAAAATCACCTGACCACTACACTAATAATTTAAATCCATTCTTATTATTATCCTAACCTACACTTTTAAAATATCTCTTTGGCAAATATTCAGTATACAGAACCATATCTGAAACAAGTCTGATTTTTATTTATCTATCATCTCTTTCAAATGCAGTAAGAGCTTAAAATTTTGTTCAAACCTTAAGAAACATACAATTATGTATGTATGTATGTATGTATGTATGTATGTATGTATGTATAAAAAAGGAATAGAAAAATTACTTGGGCAAGACACCTAAATGTCATCTAAAATCTCAGTATTAGGGGCTCCTGGGTAGCTCAGTTATGTGTTCAACTTCAGCTCAGGTCATGATCTCGGAGTTCATGGGTTCAAGCCCCACACTGGGCTCTATGCTGACAGCTCAGAGCCTGAAGCCTGCTTCAGATTCTGTCTCGTCTTTCTACCCCTCCCCCACTTGTGCTCTGTCTCTCTCTCTCTCTCTTTCTCAAATAGAAATCAACATTACAAAAATTTTTTAATAAAAAAATAAAAAATAAAATCTCTATTACTTTCTTACTTTTTAAATAAGTCCAAATTCATTCATAGCTTATTGATTTATTAAGCCTATTACACCATGCTACACTTCATTTGATTGTGCTAATGGATAATAATCTGGTTTAAAACACAACTAATCCCAGTCCCATGCTTAGGTTATTATCCTAACCACAGAATTCTATTTCTTTTCTCCTTAAATTGAATTACTCTTTGGATCATCTTAAAATTCTGCATAAAACTTCCATAGTAATTACATAAATACCAAGAGCAGTGAAACTTCATTAATAATGAGTTGGCTATCAAAATGTATTTGGTATCAATTTATTGCATGTTTATAGAAGCTAATTATCAATTAAAGCTGTTATTTTCAGAAAGCACAAAATCAGGGGCACCTGGGTGGCTCAGTTGGTTAAGCGTCTGACTTCGGCTCAGGTCATGATCTCCCAGTTTGTGGGTTCGAGACCTACATGGGGCTCCAGAGACTGGAGCCTGCTTCGGATTCTGTGTCTCCCTCTCTTTCTCTGCCCCTCCCTTCCTCATGCTCTCTCTCTCAAAAATAAACATTTAAAAATAAATAAATAATTAATTAAAGTACAAAATCAGACTCAGTGCCAATAAATTTATTCTTATTTACTAAAATAGGTATGTCCTATGACATTTTTATTGATATTTAATTCTGTGTAACATTTTCCCTACACCACTTAGTGCACAGTGCTCCATCATTTGGTTGGCCGAGAAACAATGGCTCTATTAATGAAAAATTTAAAATTTTTATTTGCTTACACTATCAACAAGAGCCAAAGTATGGAAAGAGACCAAATGTCCACCAATGGACAAATGGATAAAGAAGATGTGGTATATATATACAACAGAGTATTACTCAGCAATCAAAAAGAATGAAATCTTGCCATTTCCAACTACGTGGATGGAACTAGAGGGTATTATGCTAGGTGAATTAAGTCAGAGAAAGACAAATATCATCTGACTTCATTCATATGAGGACTTTAAGCTACAAAACAGATGGACATAAGGAAAGGGAAGCAAAAATAACATAAAAACAGGGAGGGGGACAAAACATAAGAGACTCAAATATAGAGAACAAACAGAGGGTTGCTGGAGGTGTTGCAGGAGGTGGGATGGGCTAAATGAGTAAGGGGCATTAAGGAATCTACTCCTGAAATCATTGTTGTACTATATGCTAACTTGGATGTAAATTAAAAAACCAAATTAAATAAAAATACCAAAAAACCCTTTGATCTGCTTATATGTACTTTCCTGAAGGACAGAGTTTCAGTCTTGCCTTTATGTACCAGGGAATGAAGATAGTGTGTGTGTGTCTGTGTGGGTGTGTGTGTGTACACAGACACACACACACAAACCCATGTGCTAGATTGGGGGCCTGAGATTCAAATTCAAGAGTGGAAAAATAACAAATACAGATCTAGCATAAGCTCACAAAAAAGATCCTTAGTAGAAAAAGGACTCTGATGACTTAAGACTAGTTTTTTAAAAAATCTAAATCTTAAAAACTAAGTCTTAGAATTCCTTTGGGGCAAACAGAAAAGTATTAGGATATACTTATTTCACCAATTATTTGACTGTATCTGAATAATGAAGCAAAACATTAAAAATAACATGGCATAGGGGTGCCTGGGTGGCTCAGTCAGTTAAGCATCCGGCTTTGGTTCAGGTCATGATCTCATGGTTCGTGGGTTTGAGCCCCATGTTGAGCTCTGTGCTGACGTGCAGATTCTCTCTCTCTCTCTCTCTCTCTCTCCCTCTCTCTGTCCCTCCCTCACTTGTACTTTCTTGCTTTCTCAAAATAAAAAAACTTAAAAATGAAATAATATGGCATAGTGCAAGAGGAAGTCATAGGGTTTGAACTCAGATGGGATTTGAGATCAGCACTGTTTTTGTTTTTTTTTACCAGTGTCACCTGGGGCAAGTTACTCTTGGCACAGTCTCCTGAGCTATTAAAATGATAATGATAATAGAGGCACCTATCTCTCAGGGTTGCTGTAAAGATTAAGTGTGAAGAAAAGTGTTTAGTAGTGTGGTTGGCATATATTAAATACTCAGTAAATGATAATTACTTTTAGTAACATATGTTTTATTTACCCAACCAATAATTTACCTTGAAATTGAAAAAATATTTTTATTTATTATATTTTTAAATGTTTATTTTTGAGAGAGAGAGAGAGAGAGAGAGAGAGAGAGACTGAGTACCAATGGGGGAGGGGCAGAGAGAGAGAGGGAGAGGGAGACACAGAATCAGAAGCAGGCTCCAGGCTCTGAGCTGTCAGCACAGAGTCCGGTGCAGGCCTCAAACTCACGAACTGTGAGATCATGACCTGAGCTGAAGTCAGACACTTAACCAACTGAGCCAACCAGGGGCCTCTGAAAAAATATTTTTAAAATTTGCTATGTACCTTTTCACAAATCATTTGACGAAACCAAATATACCATTATTACATTAGCACCTTCCCTGCACTGCCAGACATAGGCATCCACTGAATGAAAATCCTATCTCAATTAAATATGGGGTATTCTAATATAACTGGGAAAAGTTAATTTGCAAAACTTACTACTCCTGGATCAACGTTTTCTCTTCCTAAGGTTATGTACAGTATCACATGTTCTCATTAATTACCTTGTCAGGAAAAGGAAAAGAAGCCTCTCACGTGATGCAGGCTGATCTCGAGTACTGAAATAGGAGTAAATCTGAAGAGCAAATAAGACGAGCCAGAAAACCATGAAAAGTACAGGGACTACGAGTTGATTCCACAGGGACATTCCCAAAGCTAGAAGGCCATATACCTCTACTACCTGAGTAAGAAAATAAGATAGGAAAACATCTTGTATCACTTCAACAAACACATTTAAACATAAAAGAGTAATACAGAGAAAAATAAAATAGCTTTTTTTCACTGTAAGGTTGTTTCAGATAAATTCCTTTAAAGTTTTCTCTATACAGTCACTAAGTACCACATTTTTAAAAATTCACTGAGTTTTCATTATTGTTAACACGACACACACTCATCAAATGACCACCAAAAATTCCCCTTATGGTTCAGAGTAAAGTCACTTTCAGAGTAAAATTACATCAAAGGCAGGTTGTAAACTGACTCATCTGTAAATCATAATGATCAATCAGGACTACCTTAAATGATACAATAGTGCTTGAGTGGCTAGAAAAACAGGCAATATGAAAGGAAGACTTTTTCAGGATTTAGTCAGGAAATTTTATAGGTGAAACAGTTTGACGAAGACAGAATAATCACTGGAGTTTACTGGAGAGAGAAGACAGTTAGCAAGTCTTTTTTTCCCCAGATAAATCAATTCCCCTTGTTCCTCCTATGCATTTTTCAAACAACATTTCTCAATTTATTTGGTTTGCCAAGTGCCTTAACACCAAGAAAAAAGGTACATGTAGAAAAAGTTTATTAATCTACTAATAAGTAAATTAGCTTTCTAGTTTGTAAAATAATCTCTTATGAGATTGATTAGGAAGAATCAATTTTCATAATCTGATTCAGCCAAAGAGCACAATGTAACCAAGTTTCTAGAGTTACTATGCCAGGGACCAGACCCTGGTAACACAACAGGGTTCTCCAAGGCAGGCTATAAACTATAACCTACAGAGCCAAATGGTCTTGCTGAAACTCTCAGTGTGATACCAGAATGCTTCAATAAACTACAAATATCTTAAAATACACTGACTTCAAGTTATTCTGATTTCTAATTAATACCTATCTCTAGATAAAGATCTTTTAAGCATTAAGTTAAAATACACTGACTTGCAAGTTATTCTAAATTTAAATTATTTTCACCTGGAGGCACCTAGGTGGCTCAATCGGTTAAGGATCCAACTTCAGCTCAGGTCATGATCTCACAGTTCACAGCCTCTGTGAGGCTGACAGCTCAGACCCTGGAGCTTGCTTTAGATTCTGTGTCTCGCTTTCTCTGCCCCTCCCCCTGTCACACTCTTTCTCTCTCTCTCAACAATAAACATTCTTTTAAAAATTATAAAAAATACTTTTAGTAATAAAAAAATAAATTCCATTTGTAACTCAAATGCTTTTTCTAAAATCTAGTCAAGATTAACTTCTATTTTTCCCCTACTAGAAAATATTTAAAGAAAAAGCAAATTGTCCAACTACGTGCAAAATAATTATTAGCAGCAAATGATCATTGAGAGGTAGAGAGTATTTTTCCTCCTTTCCATTCAAGAAACATGACTAAAAAGCCTGATAGTTTCCATTTCTTGCCTATCCAATTCTTTCCAGGTTGTGAATTTTATAACTTATAATTTATTTTCAACTACAACATCTAGTGATGCATGAATCTTATGGCAACCAAGAAGGTAAACATGACATTGAAAAATGAGGGCTCTGTCCTTATGATGATAAAACATCATCCAATTAATGTTTACTGCCTACTGTTTTCCTACAAACTAGGATAGCTCCACAAGACTGAATTCAAAGAAAAACACTAGTCATTCTTACTCTGAATGGAAGTACAGTGCTTCCTCATGAAATAGCTCTTCACGGAGTGTGAAAATAACTTCCTCTTCTCTGAAAGACCTACTTTTAGGAAAACTGCCCAAGTTAATCATTACATAAGATGAACAATGAAGGCAGAATCAGGCTAAAGCCAAGAGTAGAGGGAAATTTTTCTGGGAAATCTGTCCCTGGGGCTACAACAACAACAACAACAACAACAACAACAACAACAAAACCCACTTCACTTAGTAGTTTCAGTTTGGTCAATCTGAGAGCATCCTGTACCTTAAGGTCACATACACACAGTCGAAAGGTAGAAAAGAATGTCCATTTTAACATTTTGTTTTTATGTATCAATGTCAGTTTTAGTATCTATTTTATATACTGAAACTTATCAATTAAGGCAAATGGAAATAGATAAATATCTATTGTTTCTGTCTGGGAATAATCTGTTTTAGAGCAAAGGTTAAAAAAAGTAGGATAAGGCAGAAGCACATCATGTTGGCAACATCAGTTTATCTAAGCAAAATCCATCATAGTATAAACAACTTAACTTCTCAGTTTACATAAATTAAGCAAACATAGGGGGAAATAACTGTAGGCACAGGACTATAACCAGGAGAAAAACCAGGATTTGACCCCTAGATTTTCAATTCTGTATTACTTTGGTCTTTGTTATAATACTCAACACATACAGAATAATGTCTGCCTGGCACCAAACTCACTTAAATCTCACCTAACCCTATGAGTTAGGTACAACTGTTATTATTAGCTCCATTTTATGGATAAACCAACTTAAGTGACTATCCCCAGGTTACACAGCTAGTAAACAACAGTGCCAGTGTAAAAACCCAGACACTCTGCTTCCACAGAATCCCTTTACTGCCTCTCTATACAACACTTCATAATAAAAAATCTTACATGTTCCTAATTAGGTTGCTATTTAAAAACTGTCCAACAGAATGTTACCATAACCATGACTGAAATAACAAGGAGCTAAACCTTTAATATAACTAGTATTTATGCAGAATTTTATCTACCTGTGTGTGGTGTCAGTCTTACCTGAACCAATTCTCTGTATGCAGACTTAGCAAGGTTATAAGGTACTAAAAGATTAGACCCAAGAAAATAGAGAACCTCCAATCCAGTAAAAATCATAGCAAATTTGTTGATGATAACAATGGTCTCCAGAGGAACAAGGCAGAGTCGTGCTAGCAGAGGAAGCATGTGAGCTGAAAACAGCCAAATCTGCTTCGTTTTCATGACACAGGAACATAAAGTACACACCACCAACTGACCTAAAATGGGGAGGAGAATGCATTTAAGATTTGGTATTCACAAAATAAAAGCAAAAGATAATGCCAATAAGCATGATGACACAGCTTTTGAAAAAGTCTAATTAAGATCTCCTAGGTAACAGTCTAAATCAAATTTTTACCTCATCTGACCATGATTACATATTCATATGTCCCGTCAATTCTGAGCATCAATTCCCTAGGTACTGATCTGAAAAAAGCAGTACAAATATCCACTAGTCTTCATCACATTTCAGATGACATATATAATACAAAAAACGTTTTTTTAAATGTCTAGCTCAGTATTATAATAATTCAATTACTACTGTTTACATATAGCTCTTTTCACAAAGGTCCATCAATATTTAATTGTTCTGGTTGATAGGTAAAAGCATAAAATCCAAGAGATACAGTTACTTCTCTAAGATCATGATGCGACAAAATTCATTGAGATTTTCAAGCTTTAATTACGTTTACAGGATCATGCAAGCCTTCCCAAAGGACTCAATAATGAAAGTAAAACTTTGTTTAAGCAACAAATTCTTCTCAGATGATTAGGCATGATCATTATAGAAAAGTTAGAAAATACAGAGAAATAAAAAGGGAAAACTCAATTTCTTATAGTCCAGTATCTTTGGTCAATTAAAGCACTGCATAGAGAGTCTAAGCATTGTGTCTGAAACCTAGTAAGTGCTCAACAAAACTTAGCTATTCATACTGTTTTCAGATTTATTCTATGCAAGTGAATATACAAGTGTTTTATTATATAAATGAGATTACAGTGTACACACTACAGTTTTTTCAGTTAATACATATAATCCATGTAGCTCTCCCCATACCAATAAACATATACACTTTTTTTTTTTAGTTGTATGGCATATTACACTGAATGTGTATGAAACAGTATTAGCATTTGGCTGTTTTCAAATAGTTCATAATTATAAAATGCTTTGTTATGAATAAGCCTGATGTTTAACGCTTATGACATCCTCATATACTTGGAGCACATTTCCTAATATCTTCTTAGACTAAATTCCTAAAAGTGTAATTACTGAGTCAGAAGAAACCTTTAAGACTTTGACACATACAATCAGACGGCCCTACAGAAACAAAACACCCAGGGTACAGGGTGCGCATTTTTCTACTGACTTGCCAACAGTAAAAATAATTTAAAGAAGGAATATTTCCTAGGATTTTCTAAATATTGCATTTTGTTGATTACCAATTACAAATAAGTACATAAAAATAATTTGCAATTATTTGGTGAAATGCTTGTTTACATTCTTTGGCCATTTCTACTGGGGAATGTAGCCTTCTATGTTTTGACTAAGATATTAATTTCCTTTGTCACATGACTATATTTTCCCAATTATTTGAATATTTTAATAATTTTTTCTCTTACAGAAGTTTTTACTGTAAATAGTCAAACCTATCAAACCTTTTCCTTCATGGTTTCTACCTTTGGTGCCATGGTTAATCACATGGGTTCTCCTACTTAAGATTATACAAGTAATCATGTACATTTAAAAAAAAATTTTTTTTTAATGTTTATTTATTTTTGGGAGAGAGACAGAGTGTGAGCGGGGAAGGGCAGAGAGAGAGGGAGATAAAGTAGGCTCCAGGCTCCGAGCTGTCTGCAGAGCCTGATATAGGGCTCGAACTCACGAACCATGAGATCATGGCCTCATGGTCAAAGTCGGATGCTTAACCTACTGAGCCAACCAGGTGCCCCACCTACGTTTTCTTTTATTATTCTTTATTTTAAAAATTAATACATTTGGAATTTATTTTAGAATAAGGTAAAATTGGAATTTATTTTAGAATAATTTATTTTAGAATTTCAGTACTTATAAATCTTCACTTAATATAACCAGGTGATTCAAGCTTAAGAAACACTACTGTCCCATGAAAGACAAAAACCAAAACAAACAAAAAAAGATCTCAGAGGAAATGGATAATTCAAGGAATAAAAGAAAGCTTCAAAGAGATAAATGATATATCTATGAAATAAAAAAAGACTGTCATAATAAAAAGAATTCAATGAAAAAAGTTCCTGGATATTAAAAATATACAACAACAAAAAAAGATCTAAGTGTGTTTTTCCAGATGTTTTAGTCAGTTGTCTCAAAACTAGCTACTGGAATCATCCAATTCTTTTCTTATTACTTTGAAATGCCATTCTAGTATACCTTCAAATTTTTTGTATATTTGAGTCTGTGTCAGAACTTGCTATTTTTTTTAAATTTGAGAGTGAGCGAGCACACATGTGAGGGGGGAAGGGCAGAAAAATGAGAGAGAGAGAGAGAGAGAAAGATAGGGAGGAGGTGGAGGAGGAAGAGGAGGAGGAGGAGGAGAAAAAGAAAGAATCCCAAGCAGGTTCCAGGCTGACAGCGGGGAGCCCAATGCAGGGCTCAGTCTCAGGAACCATGAGATCACGACCTGAGCTGAAACCAAGAGTTGGATGTTTAGCTTACTGAGCTACCCAGGCACCCTAGAATTTACTATTTTTCTTTTTTCAACACTCTACTCTGATGACAGTACCACACTGTCCACTGTCCCATTTCACTGACTGGACAAGTCTCCTCTCATTGCTCTTTTTAAAATTTTATGAAAATTCTTGAACATGTTATCTTCCAGATTAAGAATCACATAGTCAAATTCTCTTCCTTCTTGCCAATGAAGGGCAAAACAATACTTTGAGATTTTTGTTTTGTGTTCAATCTGTATTACTGTTACAAGAATACAAAAATGGCAACCATTTTTACACAAAGCTAAAAACATTTATTAACAATCTACCATGTTATAATGTGGTATTTTCTCCCACAAATATTAATCTTAGCCTTTAAAGAACTGATATCTAAATAATGTGAAAAATATTCATAAATGTATAAAAGGAGGAAAACCCACAATACTAAAAAAAAAATAAATAAGAGCAAAACAAAACAGGAGGAGTGGCCACCAAGTGAGATATGAGAACAACATTTTAGAGCACAGAAAACTAAGAGATAGGAGGCAACGAACTGTGGTTTTAAGCCAAGCCATTACTCTTTTCCCCACCCTGGGGGGAAGACTGAGGTTTACTGGAGAGACTGCAACAGGCACCTGGACATGACCATGCACACACAGCCCTGAGCAGAGAGGAGATGCCCAAATGAAAAGAGGGGATTAAAACAAAAGTCTGCACCCTGAGAGATGAAATCTTTCTAGATATCCAAACATGCTGCCATGTTTATTGTTACCCATTCTAGTCACTGACATCAGCCTCCCCCACAGGGAATACAAAGATTCCTATGTGGGGAAAATGACCAAGTCCAAGTGAAAAGACATACAAATACTCAAAAACAGCCAATCCCACTTCAACATCAACTGTGAAACATACCAGTTGGTAAGCCCTAAAGAGATTCTAATCAACAACTTAACTCACTTTAATACAAATGATCAGCTAAGGACCTCCAGATATTTAAATAAAATTTATGGTTTAGTCAGCCTCAGATGAGGCCTAGAAATCAGTATTTATAAATCTTTACCAAATATAACCAGGAATCAAATCCAGGCTTAAGAAACACTACTATCCCATGAAAGACAAACACCAAAAAAAACCAGAAAAAAAGATCTCAGAGGAAATGGATAATTCAAGAATAAAAGAAAGCTTCAAAGAGATAAGTGATATACCTAAGAAATAAAAAAAAGACTCTCACAGTAAAAAGAAACTTCAATGAAAACAAGCTCATGGATATTAACAATATACAACAAAAAAAGGTACAATAAGAGGGCTGGACGATAAAGTTGGGAAATCTCAGAAAGTTAATCAAAAGACAGAGAGGGGAGAAAAAAAGGAAAATAGAACAGTAAGAAAGTTAGGGGGTCAATGTAGGAGGAACATTACCCAGTTCACAGGATTTCTAGAGAGGGCCAAGAGAGAAAGTAGCAGGGCCAACACAGCTGTGACTAGAAAGGAGAGGCCTGTGGGGAGCTGGTACAGGAACGTGGAACAGAGTGGTACAGAAGAGAGCCAGTGTTTATCATAAAACTGGTAGGTCTCAACTTTTAAAAACAAGCATATTTCTTTGATTAAAAAATTAGCAAAAACTCGAAAAGAAAGTACTCAGAGGAAATGCTTTAATGCTAGGAATAATTAGGAATGTTCACTCTCACACATTTTATTTTCACTGTACTCACCGCTATGGTATTTAAATTTCCCGTTCAGCATGATATAAACTTCCTCTACACTCTGAAAATTCCCCGAAATCTATGCCAACACATTCAGTGCTCAACTCTGGGGTTGCAGACTTCATTTTCTTTCAGAGAAGACTATGACTCATATGCTATGATTCTCTTTAACAGAAGACCACTTCTCCTATTTAGGTGAAAAAAGGAAGGAGCAGAAATCTTTCCTATAGCTCCAAAAGAACGGGAAGTTGTTTAAATTGATGTGCCTATTCCAATTGGGAATTCTGAATAAATCAAAATCACAAAGTAATCTTTGGATTTCAGGATTCCACTATTAGAAATAGCTCCCAGAAGTCTGCAACTCTAAGAAATGATGGCATATTAATATTACTCAGTTTTTCATTAAAAGCTCATTAATGAAACAGAAGAAAATAGAAAGTACCTTTAAAATCCAAATTGGAAGAAAATATAGTGCTTAACAGTTTATGGATTTTATTTCCAATTAATTGAATCTTAGCTGAGTAAACAGAGTATCATAACCACTGATGGCAAAAATTTAAGGAAATGTTTCAAGTTTGTACTATATTGCATCCATCACGGAATAAAAAATAATACCTTACGAGCTCTTTAACCTTTCAAATACACTTGACACTTGCACAATGCAAGGGCTGTTCAATGTTCAACATTGTTCAACAATGTATTTGTTCAAGGATGCAGAGTTGAAAATGCTTGCATAACTTTTGACTCTCCAAATATTAACTACTTAAAGCCTACAGCCTACTGTTGACTGGAATTGTTACCAATAACATAACACATATTTTGTATGTTATATGTAATACATACTATATTCTTATATAATAAAGTAAGCTAAGGAAAAGAGAACATTATTAAGCAAATCCTAAGGAAAATGATTTTAAAATCCACTCTGTGAAGGGACTCCTGGGTGGCTCAGTCTATCAAGCATCCGACTCTTGGTTTCAGCTCAGGTCATGATCTCACAGTTGGTGAGATCAAGCCCTGCATCGGGCTCTGTGCTGACAGCGTGGAGCCTGCTTGGGATTTCCTCTCCTTCTCTCTGCCCTTTCCCCACTCACTCACTCTCTCTCTCTCAAAAAATAAATACACATTAAAAAATTATTTAAAATCCACTCTGTGAAGTTTAGTGTTCTCCTGCCCCTAAGCCAGATCCTATAACTTTTCTAATCTAACTTAGGTTACACAGTCCCAATTGAACAATGACTAAAACTCTGAAACTGATTTAGTTCAGGCTTTTCCCTTATGTTAGCTCAGGCCCCCTATGGGACTATAGATGGAAAACCTGCAACTGTGAGGGGGATGAAGAAGTTATGGCAGGCTTTGCCCTCTTTCTATGCCAGCACCGCTGCCCTCTCTTCCTGACTTACCTAGGCTTGAAGCATGTAGGAAAGAAGGAGAGTGGGTAGTAGGAAATTCTTACTGGACTATGCTCTTACAGAGATTGGGTGTTGGTGCTCCCTGAAGCGGGAACACTTAAAACTTATCCTCTTTTCTCTTGAGCATTTTTATGGGTTCTTCTCAGATTGTTCCTATCACGGTGGCTCTCCCACCCTTAGTATTTGTTATGTACCCTTCCTCTGGCTGTTTCTGGTTCTTTGCTGAACTCTTGGAGGTTCAATCCCTGTTGGAGCCTTATCCTTCTAAAGTCCCTCTTAGAAAGACCTAAAAAAATCCCATAGACTCTTGGGGCCCTTAACTAGTTCACAACAAATTAACATCCTTTGCCTACCCAGATTAGAAGATACAAAAGAACCCCAAAAGACATTTTCACTATGCCCATAGTCAGAAAACTCACAGCAAGCCAACTCACTCATATATATATACACACACACACATATATATATGTTAACAATAAATATATATAACATACCCCAAAGATTATCATATAAAAACATTCAATCTGCATTAAAAAAAAGACATTTTGCATCCTTTTTTGTACTAAGTCTTAGAAAGTAGGTATGTGTGTTTTACACTTATAGCGTATCTTAATTTGGACTAGCCACATTTCAAGAGCTCGATAGCTACATTTAATTTTATTTTTTTAATGTTTGCTTATTTATTTTGAGAGAGAGAGAGAGAAAGAGTGAGGGAGGTACAGAGATAGAGAGAATCCCAAGCAGGCTCCACACTGTCAGCACAGAGCCTGACGTGGGGCTCAATCTCACAAACCATGAGACAATGAGCTGAGCTGAAATCAAGAGTTGGACACTTAACCGATTAAGCCACCCAGGTACCCCATATGTGGCTAATTTTGGATGGTGCAGCTTTAGATTTTCAAAGTGTGGGTCAGTTCACAGTATCCCCCCCCTAAACCGCAGAAGACATGTGACTCTCCAAATGGTCTTCTGCTGACTTCTCTAAATGTGAATGGCTGGGGAGGTATTTCAGAGCAAACAGCTCTCTAAAGAAATTCTCCTTAATCTCCAACATTTAATTTTGCAAGACCCTCTATATGGGTGAGTGTAAAAGTCATAAAATATATTTTCTCTCACTTCCTTTTGTATAATTCCGGCATGGTAGGCAGGGTCTAGTACATCACTTGGGACTCTCTATATTATTTTTGGGTCTTAGCTAACACTCCTATTTTTAACATTCTACTACCTAAATATTTCAATCAGGTCTCAAGTTCTTGACATTTCTGGCAACTTATTTTTGAATACAGTGATGGCTCTCAATAACAATAAAGACATTACATATTTAATTTTAATCTTATAAAATAATAATTAGCTTTATTTAAAAATTAACCTTCTAAATCGTTAAAATATCATTAAAAAAGCACAAGCAACTATAGGCTACGTATGATTATTAGCATGTAAAAAAATAATAAGTAAGGTTGCTCTCCACCTACACTTTCAATTCTTTTCTAATACTTACCTATTAAGGCTGTGGTAAACCGATTCATGGAGAGAGGTTCTAAATACATTGGTCCTTCATAGGCAGACTCCAGTTCACTCCTGACGTAGTCCCTAAATAAATAAAATGGTAATAACAGATACATAACAAGCACATATGGAAAAGAAAAGCAACTAAAGCACAGTGTTCTTATAAAAAGCATATTATGTTAATAACACTTCTTTCCACATCTACATTAAGGAAAATTTTAGGTATAAAAAACTAGGTAAAGATGGTCTTCATTTCCTTCTTCCACACATGGATTAGAATTTACTGCATCTGAATTTTACTATGCAGAGAAGACAGCCAAAAATCTACTCTGTGGGATTTTCTTTTTTCCCATGGCCTTGTTAAATAATATTCCCAGTAAAAAAACATTTGAGAAACCATCCCTCAACCCTATTACTTAAGTGATAATACCCAATAATATTACATCAAATTTCCCCTCTTTTGGCTCTCTTCCACCATCCCACCTATCTTACTTTCCCCAAAGTTTTATCCCCAATTATTCTTAGTTATAGGTAAAATCACAAACTAAGTAGAAAACTGGCTCACAGGACAATCCTTAAAAATTGTCACTTTCAACTCTATCAAGAATCTATAATTAGACTTATAATAAAGTAGGCTACAGATTTATTTTGAATCAAATTTTAAATCACATCAAATATTCCTTTTAAAATTTAAATGATGTTAAATGACATGTGATTACTGAGAAATAAGTAGAGAAAAAAAAAGTCTTTCCACACTGAGAAAACAGAACTTTCAGTGCACAGCCAAGAAGCACAAAAAGGGGGAATTTAATTTATCAGCAAGTTAAAACAGTAATACTAGAAGACTGTTAAGTTCTTTTGACATCATCGTAAGGGAACTGTGTAAAAAAATTCTCCTTTTCTTCAATTATTGAATGCTTTATCCACTGTATTTAAAAGAATCTGAATGTTTCAGTATTTCTGAACAAACCCACAGCTATATTTACTTTTTCCATGAAATTACTTCCTATTAGGCAATCAAGTTGAATTCCTTTAGTGTAGCATAGCCAAACAAGAAATGACCCTTACATAATCCAAAAGGAGAATACTGTCAAAAAACCAAAATAAGTTTTATGAACAGAAGCAGTTTGAGGGACAATTTACAAAAATCAATAATGGACCTAAATTCATGGGAGATTTAGTAATTCTCCTCTATCACTCTATGATGACCACTTCTAACAAATAATATATTAATAGTCTCTTTTTACTGAAATTCTCAAGACGAATGATTTTTTTTAATTTTTTTTTTAACGTTTATTTATTTTTGAGACAGAGAGAGAGAGAGAGCATGAACGGGGTAGGGGCAGAGAGAGAAAGGGAGACACAGAATCGGAAGCAGGTTCCAGGCTGTGAGCCATCAGCCCAGAGCCCGACGCAGGGCTCGAACTTGCGGACCGTGAGATCGTGACCTGAGCCGAAGTCGGACGCTTAACCGACTGAGCCACCCAGGCGCCCCTCAAGACGAATGATTTTAATGCAGTGCTGGCCAACCAGGGGTGATTTTGACCCCAAGGGGCATTATGCACTGTCTGAAGACATTTTTAGCTGTCACAATTTAAAGGGTTGGGGGTGCTCTGAGCACCTAGGCCAAGATGCTGCCACAACATCCTATCTCCAGTGCACAGGACAGCCCTATAACAAAGGATTACTCAGTCCAGAGGTCAGTGCTCAAAACCCTGTGAGAAGTACAAATGCTACACATGCAAATAACATATAAATATCTGAATGCTATCTTACTAGATAACCACCAACATAAAATTACTACATTTTACAAAGTTTTAGGACAGAAAACTGAAGAATTAAGAGAATTATGAAATTTACAATAAAATACACATATAAATATCACTTAAAATTTATGAAGTCTTTGAAAATGCTATTAAAGAAAAAAATTTATCTTTAAAAAAGTTTATTTAGTCTTTATTTATTTTTAATAGGACCAAGGCGAGTGAGGAGTAGAGAGAGAGGGAGACACAGAATCTGAAGCAGGCTCCAGGCTCTGAGCTGTCAGCACAAAGCCTGATGCAGGGCTTGAACCCACATACCATGAGCTCATGACCTGAGCCTAAGTCAGTCGCCCAACCGTCTGAGTCACCCAGGCGCCCCCAAATAAATTCGTATTTAAAAGAGTTCTAATTCTGAGTCCAAGACCTCTGAAGGCAAATAATTTCTTTGTGGCCATCTCATATCCTTCTCCAACAGATCCAGTTAAAAGAGGGGAAACCCACAAAGACAAAAAGCAGATTGATGCTTGCCAGGGGCTGAGGGGGAGGGGAGGGGAGGGAAAATGGAAAAGACGTAATATGTACTGGGTTTTATCGTGGGGTGATGGTTGTACATTATGAAGGTAGTATATGCCAATGAACTGTTCACTTTAAAGGTTAATTTTATGTGAATTTCACTTCAATACAAAGGGAATGGGGTGACTACAGGAATTCCATCCCCAAGGGGAAGAGCCAAAAGGTGTCCCCGAAGGGTTCAGTGCCCAGGAAATCTTTCCTAGTAACGTGGGGGGTGGAAACTGCAGAGTTGGTCTCCCTGACATGTTTTCTCTCCCTTGTTTGCTTTTGTCATCATATTATTGATGTTTTATATATAACTCAGCAAACCCATTACTCTAGAATTTCTTATTGCCGAGACATTTGTTAATTGTTTTGCATTATTTCCTAGCCTACTTTACTTTATTTTTTAGCACTTCTTTGTCTTCTTTAGAGCCTCTAATCTTAAATTCTGACTTTACATAACAAAACCTGTAAAGAAAATCAACATTCTCCATGTTTTTTGGCCTCACAAAAAATATACCATATACATAATATGTTGTTAGCACACTGCTACCCTCTGGGAATACTACAGTAGACAGGAAAGTAACAATTCCTGTTAGCATGAAGCTTTACAAACCAGGAAGAGAGACCTACGATTACTAGATTAATACTAATAATAATTACAATTATATAATTACAATTACAATAATAATTATAATTGTGATAAATGCTATAAAAATATAGAATGAGGGGCGCCTGGGTGGCTCAGTCGGTTAAGTGTCCAACTTCAGCTCAGGTCATGATCTCACAGTTTGTGATTTCAGGGCCTCGCACTGGGCTCTGTGCTGACAGCTCAGAGCCTGGAGACTGCTTTGGATTCTGTGTCTCCTCTCTCTGCCCCTCCCTGCTCCTGCTGTCTCTCTCTCAAAAATGAATAAAAATATAAAAAAAAATTTTTAATATAGAATGATTTTTTTTCTCTTTTTCACTCTCCGTATTTCGTGACTTTGTGATTTAGTGAAATTATAGGGACTAAGGGAGATCTGTCTTCCAAAAGAATAATCAACCGTTAGGCCTTAAAGACAACACCACAGTGTTGAACAGCTTCTTACCACTAGCTCTCTGGGCTGCCCTCCTCTAGAACCCTAAGAGAACAGCTCTCCTCAATGCTGCAACCCCTCCTCAATGCTACTGGAGCAATCATCCTACCACAGAAATTAACATCTTCTCAAGGTACCTCAGACCCTTTCTCCTTTGCTCCACTCCTGTCTCTCAAGATGGTCCTTCACAATCTTTCCTGTCTGGCTGACTCATCAATAAGCCCCACCTCAAGAAAGACGGCCAGGGCCAGAAAGTCTGTAGTCCCTCTTTGGTCCCACTGAGCTTGGCTTGCCAGAGCCAGGGCAGTGGCTTTGGTGAGGGCTAAACTACTGGTCTCACCAAGGAGCCACTACTGAGCTGTCCCTTTTGAAAGAAGAATCTGGGCATTGTTGCACCCCAAACTATACAAGAGAACTTTAACATGGATCAGTATCTGAACAAAGATCTCCAAGTTATGAACAACTTCCCGGCATCTCATGCTGACAATGTAAACTCTTCATTACTAGTCTCTCAACAAAGTGGGTCATTCACAATATAAATAAACAAGATAGAAAGCCAAATAAAAAGAATCCAGAGAAGGAATTATCCAAAATTCCATGAGTCATTTTAGTCCAAAAATTACTCTGATGCAATAGCCATGAAATTCTAATTTTTAATAGAATTTAGTAACTATTTTACAACTGAATCAGGGGTACCTGCGTGGCTCGATCTGTTAAGCATCTGACTCTTGGTTTCAGCTCAGGTCGTGATCTCACAGTTCCTGAGTTCAAGCCCCCTATCAGGCTCAGTGCTGAGAGTGCAGAGCCTGCTTGGGATTCTCTCTCTTACCTCTCTGTTTCTCAAAATAAATAAATTAAAAAAAAAAAACAAACTTAAAAAAAAAAAGACTGAATCAGATGAAATGTTCAAAAGCAGTATATGGTTTTGTTTTTTGTTTTTTTTTAAGATTTACTTTTTGTGGGGAGGCACCTGGGTGACTCAGTAGGTTAAGCATCTGACTCTTGATTTCGGCTCAGGTCATGTCTGATGGTTCGTGGGAAATCACACTGGCATGGAGCCTGCTTGGGATTCTCTCTCTCCCTCTCTCTCTGCCCCTCCCTGCTTGCACATACATGCTCTCTCTCTCAAAATAAATAAACTTTAAAAAAAAAAAAAGATTCTTTTTTTTTTTTAAGTAATCTGTACACACAACCTGGGGCTCAAACTCACAAACCATAAGATCAAGAGTTGCACACTCCAACTGAGCCAGCCAAGCACCCCCAGTATTTGATTTTTCAATTTAGGAGATTTAAACAGTAAAATGTATTAAGTTGGTAGGAAGCAAGAATCCCTGCCATCTACTTGTAACTGAATTAAATCTTTCCCTTCCTAAACTTTTTTCATTTGTGCAATTTGTGCAATACTGACATCAATCCTGAGCACTAATAAACTAAACACTTTGAAAATCTACTTCTCTAGTTCCCTATGATAGCCTATTCTCCAGTGACTGAAATTGCTTTGGGTCTGAGGAGTGTGTAAGATACATGTAAAGGGCCTCAAGGATAGCTTGCAATTAGGAAAATACTTGCTATAAAGAGAAGCATACAAGTTATAAAGAATAAGTAACAACAATAAAACCTAGAAGCTTACCAATTCACCAACTGACCTTGTAACACTCTCTTAAGCAACCTAAACAACCTAGGAACA